TCAAACGAGCAAATCTATTCTAATGAAAATATGTGGCTTACACACTTGACCTCATAATAACATCGTTCATAATCAACGTGCAAAAATGCGTATAATTTAAGAGCACATTACAATGCAATTGAAATGTTTTGCAAACATATCCCATTACCTCAGTGCTCAATGCAGAAATGAAAATGTTTGAACGTAGATGCGTGCCAACTGAATGCACAAACTGTAGGTGTGCTTTCGATCCAACAAATGCCAAACGGTGGCTGCAAACTTGTAGATAAATCATGCATCATCCTATTCCAATTTCTCGACTGACACAAATTCATTCCAGATGATATGTGACATGCGATTTCGGAATTTTGTCGAGTGCAACTCAATTCGGAACAAAATTAGGCCAATCTGTCAATTATGTAAATGCGACTGAAAATGACAAAACTTTAGATTTAGATTTTCAAGCGAAAGGAATTTTGTGGTTTCTCGAGCTCAAGCATGATGGATGATATAGCAACAAGTACAGTTAGTTCAATTTCATTCAATTAAATTCACATGCATCACGGTCGACATACAAATGTATATCATCCATTTCGGTTGCTCTGCGGTCCACACATTTTTTCAAGCGGTGAATGGCACATCACCAATTCTTAATTTATATGTATTTTATACAGACATCCCATATCACATACACATTGTCAACATTGATCTATTTAAATATGTGCACAATTGACACTATGTTATGATATTCATATCCTGGTTATTTTAATTAATTTTACTCAATGTTTGCTCTAAATTTTACATTAATTTAAATCAATGCAAATATTGAACAAACTCTGAATTTTAGAAATGCATACAAGCTCCCACGTAGTGACGGAGAAAATTGTTGTATTCTCTCTGGTGAAAAGAAGAAGATGTCCTCGAATACACAATTTCATATGCCAATGTGTTGTGCAGATGCTACTGATTGTGATAATGCGTCAAGTGTCTGTGTTTTTCAGAAAATCATATATTTTGTGTATGCGTCTGGAAATGTATTAAGTGTAAAAACTCATCTTTCAGGCATGCAACGATCGATTCAATCAGTCAAAAGACAATTCGAATCCAATCAATTGACATATTATGCCTATTTTATTATTCCATATCAATTGAAGTAAAAAAGTAATATTTTTGTTTGATATAGGAAGAAGGAGACAACGTCGAAAGAAATCATTTATGGCCTCGAAGCATGTGTCGATCAAAGTTGTTTTATTTGATAAATTTGAAAATGGATTCCAAGTTATTACCGTGCATAATTCTCCAAATTGAAATTCAATGGAAATCGAAATATCGATTTGTTTGTCATATACAAAAATATCGTTCAGGATGCCAGTGTGCAAACCGCCCGACGCATTTACATCGTATTCTTCATTTTATGTGTACCATGTTTGCTGTGAGTACGCTCATGGATTTCATGGAGGTGATTGGATGGGATTTAATTTCCTTTGGAACTACATATTGAAATTGACTTTTACAACATGAACAGATGTTAATTAAATTTCGAATTGAATCGAGCGGAAAAATTACTTTTTCCCTTCACTCTATCCAATCAACATAATAGCAGTAATCGCTTCGACTCTGTTTCTGTGAATTTTCCTCATTATTCCGAGAAAAACTATTATAAATTGTAGAAATAGATTTCATCGATATATATTTATGTGAATGATGTGAAAGGCTTTAGTTTATTTTCGTAAAATGCAAATATTCGGTTTAACAAACATGTTTAGCATGCATGCACTTTGCTCCATGAAAATATTATATTATTCTTTTATTAATGCATGTTCATTTTTCACAAATTTATACAAATTATTCGCTATCGCAGTTTGTTTAAATTAATTGATTTCAAGGTTCAGTTGAGAGATGTAATTACGGATTGATCGTCCGTAACAGTCTATTAATAATAGATCAAAGCCAATTACTCTTTTAATGATACTATTAATGACAAATTGAAAAATGCACTTTAAAAGCATTCGATCAGAACAAAAAACTCAAACAAAAATGCATTGTATCTTTTTTTTTTCAAACATTTATTAAATTCATAGTTCATTCAATATTTTCCATTGGATTATTGGATTATTGGATTAAAACGGGGAGTGTCCTATTTAAACAGTAAAATTTTAATATAGTTACTCGTTGCTCAAGTTTCATAACTTATTGCAAGACGCCCGTGTGTGTATTGAATACACTAGAATAGTCTTTTATCCAAAAATGTTTCTAAGGCATGGATTGTCATCGCATGCCCGTTTGAAAAATGTTACCAATTTGAATACACTCGGTGCATGAATCAAAGGATAGGATCTCCAGCCCATGAAGTCAGCCCGTATGGTATTCAACATTGGACATCTATCTATGAGGTGGGCAGTGGTTTCCCCTTCTCCACCACACAGCCTACAGTCCGGGTCGTCTCTGAGATTTAGATTTCTCATATGAGAATTGACCCTGGCATGCCCGGTAAGTAAACCAATTACCATCCGGAGGTCTTCCTTGGGTAATTTGGCTAATTCCACCGTGAGTTTTGAACATGTGAATTGAACGAAGTGTTTCGTTTGCTCACATGAGAACGTACCCTGCCAATTTAGGCGGGATCTGTTGCTGAGCCAAGTAGCTAATCGGTTCTTGACTCGTGAATATTCAATTGGTATGTATGGTTCTGGACCCTCTATTGCATCGTGTGCAGCCAATTTTGCCGCCCCGTCTGCCAGGTCATGCCCCCGAATACCAGTATGAGATTTGATCCAAACCACCCTAAGGTTGTTCGTTTCAGAAATGCGCTGGAGTGCCTCGTAACAGTTCATAGCCAAGCCATTTTGCATCTTAATATTCTTAAGATCAGTTATGGCTCCCAAAGTTATCAGTTATTTTCCATTAAAAACAAATTCTCTGCTGTAATTGAATTATTTAGTTCCGTGAATGGGAAAATTCAATTTTGAAAAATAAAGTCCATACAAAGACGGCTAAAGCTGTGAAATGAAAAAAAAAAAACAGGTTGTAGTGTTTCCAATAGTTTTTTTTTTGATGGAAAAATTGCAAAGACGATAAAAAGAAGGACGCTTGTGTTGTCATAGTTATGAGTTTTTATCTCATTCTTTTTATTTACGTGCTTACGAGCCATTTTTATTGCAAACCACCAATTCGTTTGATTTTTTTTCATTCTCTAATGTTCTACTTTTTTATAATATATTTTCCATATTTTCTTTTTTCTATCCGTAACTTGTTTACGTTTTTCTTCTTTTCTTTGCTTTTGCTGTCGAGTCGGGATCAAATTTACCTATAAAAAGATATGATAAATAGCAGAAAATTCAATTCATGATGCCTTGTTTAAACAATAGTCGTGTATGTCGGTATAGAAAACAAGAAGTGAACAGCTATCACTAAGTAGCCTGTATACACAGACACACGGTGAGCCCACTGACAAACGTCTTCGTACAGTAACGCCACGAACGATAATAATAGACGGTGGCGTTCTAAAACGGTGTTTAAACACCAGTTATTGCTCTTGTCTTACAGAGTATGCTACGATTTAACGTTGTGCGTGAATGTGTTTTCACATCTAACTGCTTAGTTGTACTTGTTGAACGTCGAATCGATTGTGGCGCTAGTATACGTAAACAATCATTTAAAATTATATGTACTATACAATGCGCTCACTGTGTGCCTGTATAATCCAATATACGGTACACAAAAATAACGACGCGAATAATGCACATCAATTTTGCCACTCTCTGTTGCTCCCACTTCGTATATTTTATTCCAATAAAAGTTTATTTTCCATGAAGTCAAGCCACATACGCTCCAACCACAAGATGGCAAAGAATGGAATTTTTTTTGCCATACCAACAAAATACTTGCTCTGACAATATTATTTATTCAGCAAGGTTTTGTTTTATTTTTATATTATACGGTTCAGATGCCATGAATAATAATAATAATAATTACCAGGGTTCGCAAATCCGACCGAGGTCCGACCGCCGACCGACCGCCGATCCGATCCGAACCGAAAATACTCGGAGTTCGGTCGGCGTCGGAACGAGTTTTCCATCGGATTTTTTTTCGGAATTCGGTTTTCGGATATTGATCGGATGCTCACAAAATTAAAACCAATATTTTTTTTAAATTGAATTAATTTTTCTTTTGTACCCATTTTTATTAATCGTCAATTTATCTCATTCATTCGTTTTTAAAAATTTAGATCATTTTAAATTTCTATTCAAAAATAACAATTGTTCGATGTGCGCTGTATTCAATCGATTTCTTCTTCTTGTCAAAATCATTTCATTAAATTTTTCCGAACTCCGAGCACCGACCACGACCGACCACCGATCCGATCCGATCCGAGATATTCGGAGATCGGTCGGCCTCGGATTGAATATCCTCGGCGTCGGATCGGCGTCGGAATCGAAAAATGGCCGCCGTTGAGAACGCTGATAATTACATTGGTTTGCGTGACTTGGACCATATAAAAAATGTATAATTCACCATATGATTTGTGAGTTATATGTGACCAATAACAAACTTTACAGCATTTTTGACACGTCAAAAGTTCAATACACATTTAACTTTTTACCAACTACAAAACTGAACCCATTTCAATTGATCGATAAATCACAATCCACCCGATAAAGAAACGTTGGCTTCAAAACATAAAAAATTACCTGAACTTTTGAGTAAGTTTTTTGTAGTGCTTATGGCAGTTTTTTTAACTGATTTTCAGCATACAAAATATGCAGCGAATTTATTCCAACAAATAACAGCTCTGTCGTCAATTTTTCGTTGCATCGAACAAATTGCATGCGAGTTTTCCATATTTTCCAATCAAATTTCACAAAATCTAATCATAGTATTGCTATTGTACTTTAAACTTGTTTATACATGTAAAACTTATCCGTTTTCATGAATGTTTGAATTTATTACAAACTTTTTACGTTGCAATTATTTTAATAAAAATTTAATTCATTTATTCAATCTGTTTTTTTTTCTTTCAGCTAAGCAAGTAGCTTTGTGGATTCACTTCAAAGTTGATTGTCCACTTTTGTTGATTGAACAAACACAAAAACAACCATGTCGTCGTCTCAGCATCCAATGTGGCGATCATTTTCAGCTGAAGGCCATAAAAAGGAATGGAGTAAGCGGTTATCCTTGAGAGGCAATCCACGTTCAAAAGAGGTATTTTCACTCTTAGCTTCGGTTTTTTATTTCATTTTTCAATCATTTTCCATTTATGCTTTTGAAGTAGCAGTGTAAAATATTTCACATCCTTTGCCATTTATTTTCAAACGTCAAACAATTTCTTTTTTCTTAGAAACGTTAGTGTCGTTTACATTTAACAATGGTAGTTGACTAAGTTCTCTTTTGTTGTTGATGGATAATGTTGTTGTTGTTGTTTCGTCGAGTGTTTGTTTTGATATTTTATGTTAATTTAACTCGTTTTTAGGAGAAAGATACCACTTCTCGCAAGGGAATTGCAAGACGTTCAACCTCATTACGACAGTCTCGTTCGCCACAAATCTCACTCGAATTACAAGTACCATCGTTGCAATCGCCTCTAATTAGTTCACTGACCACTGCCACAACAACAACGCCAAAAAAATCCAACTGGGAAGTTATCGAACATTTTAACAATGCTGAAAGGGGTCGTGGCTCTGTCAGCAGTAGCTTGATTGCGGTAAGTTTTACAATCGACTTGTCTCGAATTTAATCTCACTCTATTCGATGTGTGGACTTTAAACCACCGCTTCATTATACTGTTATATGCAAAAGAAATATAACATGTTCGTGCAGTTGATTGATTATTGATCCTTTGTGTGTTTATTATTTTTGTGTGATAAAGGTTGGGGTGACTCGTTTCAATATGGATGGGTCTGGTTCAAATCATTCGGTGTCAACATCAAATAGCCCCATGATGAACAGAGACGTACAACAACCTTTTAATCAAGGTAAAGTATAGTTTATGATTTTACAGCGTCACCGTTCACTATATTTTACATGTTTATAACTGAACATAGAAATTCAAACAGTGCACATCTGCTTTACAATGATACATTCACAACTAAAGCTAATCTGTGTTCAACGGAGTGAACAAATGATAAAATATTTTCCATATAAATATGCATACGAGGGTTGTTTGATCATCGCCAACATAAGATAAGAAAACTCAATTTCGGTCGTCTGGTGACAGAGAACGGGAGGCCATTTTTTGTAATAATTTCTCATTTTATCGTGGCCAAGTGGAACACTCAATGATTTTCAATATGAAAAATTGACTACTTATAATCATAAAGAAAATTACATTCACAACGAATGAGATTTTTTTGAAATTGATTTTTATTAGTCTCGTCGCTACGTTACAATCAAACGGCCCTCGTACGAACATCAACATGGTGCATGTTAATCAATCAGAGAAAATGACATTGCCAACCAAAACAAGCAAAGAACATTCAACGATAAAATTATTATCAACATTACAGCATCTATGTTTTGTGCAAAATGAAAATCTCTCTTTCGCAACAGCAGCAGCAGCAACAGTCGTAGAAGTAGTAAAATGTGTCTCAAGAGTCGACAAGAATGAAATATGATTTTATGCGTCTTGGGTACAGTTTCAGTGTGCGACAAATTGTTTTCGTCTTGGGTACTCTACTACTCTAATGTGTATAATGCAGTTAGTGAATGATTTTTATGTTGAAATGATTTCACTTCGCTGTCAGCGTTTACTAAATTGAACACGTTAGCGCAACATCAATGTTCGTTCAGTCACTTGATTCGGATTTAAATATTTCACAGACGCTTCACATGTATTTTGTTGCTAATTTGGTGCAGTTCACAGATGCACCACTTTCCTTCGAACATCTTTTTTCCGCATGAAATCATTTATGATTCATTTACCAGTTTTCAGTCTGTGTATGTGTGTGTGTGTGTGTGTGTGTGTGTGTGTGTGTGTGTGTGTGTGT